GGAAAGAGGAGGAGAGAGAGCAAGGCGAGTGATAATAGAGCAAATGGACAGATAGAGACAAAGAAAAAAGACTGCATTTTTAAGTGTTCCTCCCCTGCACAGTTACTCTCTTGTACAAAGTTTCTTTCCCAGGATCTGTTTTCCATTAATTTTCAGATAAGGATTTTGTAAACACAATTTCTGTCACTTGCACAGTAACAAAAGAGATCAGAGAAACCAAAAATCTCTAAAAAGTTGAATCTGTAAGAGAAAGAGTACCTAGGGTAGATCTGATGTATTCAGAAAGACAAACAACAAAGTTTAGGAAAGTTAGATCTTTGGCAGTTGCTAAGAGAAAGCTTTCCACCAGCTCAGTGGGACTTCTCTTACTCCTGCCGCAGGTCCATCCCCATCTTCCAACTAAGAACTACTTTTCCTAGGACTGTTTCAAGGTTAAGGCAATGACTACTGCTGTCTTTCAGAAAAAGAAAAAAAGGTGCATATAATTTTCATAACACTTACATGTCTCTTAAATCTAGAGCAAACCATTTCTCAAGAAATCAATGGGCAAACAGGTTCTCTAAACTGAAAACCTGAAAAACAGGTAGCAGATGTGTCTGTTCTGACAAGTCCCTGGTTCAGTGAAGTGTAAGTTGTTTACAGAGGCATTGCGTTTCTGCACAAAGTAGTGTATTTTCTTGAGATGTGAGCTTGAGGGGTGCAGCCTTGCCACCATCCATGTCTCTGGCTGCTCTCTCACATCCCTGTATTGCAATTCACACCCTACCAGCTGTGTTGCCAGACCTGTCCTCAGCGTCATACTGTAAGCCAAGGGAGTGAAAGCAGTAACCAAGTCCAGGAACTGCTCACAGTGGCGTCATCTTAGAAGTCAGAAAATCCTGGAGTGCTCTCAGAAGCACACTGTGCCCAGACTGAATGCCTGCATCTGTCCTGAACTGCAAGATGAGGGAAGATCTGTCAGGTTATGCTCATCTCATCTACTTCCAGTGAGAACCTAATCACTCGTTACAAGGTTTGATTAAGGACTATTGGAATTTAGCCTATATTTAACTCATGATAATGACAGCTGCTGCGTTCTGTAACTGTGCACTCTGCCTATGGAGTGCTCCCCTTTCTATCTTTAGATGCTTGCAGCCTCTGTGTGTATAGAGCAAGCCAAAAAGAATGGGATTTGTTCTGCTGTTTATCATAGAAACAGTCTCAGCTCGTTCATAAAATCCTTCACATATGTAAGATATAAATACTATTTTTATGATTTTATGTCACCTTGGAATGCGTATTTCATTTCTGCAGTGTCTGAAAAGAATTATTTATAAGAATTACCAACTTTTTAATTAGATTTTGAGTGTGTACACAGTTTTCTTGGATGTACTGGAAGAACTGATTCATCATTGAACCCAGATGAACCAGTAGAATCACACCAATAATGCTATCATCTATTCCTAATCCCCATTTACCCTTTAAACGTGCTGATGTGTGAGACCTTCTCTCTTACCTAATCACAGCTTCATTTTCTTATAGCCTTTGACAAGAAAACTTGTCAAGAGTTTCTGGAAATTCAGTTTGTTATATCACTAGATCATTGATACACACTTAGTGACCCCTCAGCTAGCTCCAAAAGATTTTTGAGGCACACCACCCAACATTTTATTACACTTTTCAGTGTCTTTTTAGCCTATGTTTGTCCCTTTAAGTTTTCTCTTAACTATTCTCCTAATTTTTACATCCTGTCTTTAAAGGTTGTAGCAGGTTGCTTTACGCCCACAAACATGCTGAATTTGAGTTCATTATGGAGATAGTTACAAAGTAAGAAAAAGAGTTACACATTGAACTAAATTTTGTTCACTGATCACGATTAAATCAAGAACTGTTACTCCACTTGTGGATTCATCTGATTATGTCCAAACATTTACAGAGTCTAACAATGTAAACACAGTGTGATAATAAATTACATAATTACTAAAATTATTATTATATTCTGCATTAGCTAACAATATAAAGTATATATCATGTATAATACATTAATGATCATATATAATATGTCAAATGTTATGTAAATAATCACATAATATGAAACCACTGATATTAAGACTAGTTACTAAGATGCGTGTAAATTGTAAACTGTATCAGGAATATTTCAAATAGCTGAACCTCATTGCTAGGAATATTGAAGGAAATTATGTATAACCATGTGCACCAAATCACAAAAGAACAGACATAATGGATTTATGAGAACCAAAATAAAAGAATAAACATACATCTTGGCTAAACAAGGGGACCACAGATCTCTAAACTGCTTTGGAAGACAACAAAATACCAAGGAGGAAAAGAAATAGTTTAATGGTTATAAACAACAAGCAATTGCATTAACTAACTCAAGAAAAGGAAGGAGTACTTTGAATACCGAAAGACCTCCCATTACGTGCCAAAGGGCTATATTCTCTATGAAAAATTAGTATCAGCATTCATCTGTGAATCTTAAAATACTTCAAGTAGACCATTTATTATTTTATTCATGAACTGTCATGTTGACAGTTTAATGGTCTTGTCCATGTCACCCAGAAAGACAATACTACAGCTGACAATTAATCAAAGATTTTCTGATTCTCAATTCATATCATGACTTCGAGATTGTAGTTTTTCTTGGTTAGAAGCAGGCTGGAAAGTTCAGAGATTCTCTTGAAGTGAAGCAGGTATAATAAGAAGATAGGTAAAAAATAAACTAGGGAGCTTAGCAACTTCTGTCTTTGCGGGCCCAACCTGAGCCACCTTTCAATAACCTTACTTTCATTTCATGAAAATGTAGGCCATTTTCAAGTGCTCTCCAGTCAGGCATGTACATGCTTACTCACCCATAATCTCTAGTCACCTTTTTCCACATTTAGCCTGAAAGATACTCCTTATGACTGGTCTGGGACTCTTCACAGTAATTAATTAAAAGGGAAATTGCTCATACTCCAGTCTAATACTCAATTACTTCCTTTCAAAAACAGTTACAAGTAATTTTCTCTCATCCGTGGGCATGTTTTAGAAATAGATGCCTATTAAACTAACCAACTTGGACAGCTTCTCATCCACTCCATCCCTGGAAAGACTTACCTCCAGTTACGCCACCTCCAAGGGAACCATCACACAGGTCACTTCTAGAAGTTCTGCTTCAAAGAGAGAATCCCTGAAGTGAACCATCGGCAAATTAGGAAAATAGCACTTGCCAGGTCTGTGGCACTGCTTGTGAAAGAACTGCTTACAATGATATAGACTCAAAAATAGAGGGTACTGGCAACATGAAGGGAAATTACATACGAGAAAGTCTATACAGAAATCTAGTGCACGCTGTATCCATGGTAGGCACGGTAGGTAAATACCATGAACATGATTCCAGTCAGTGGCATTATGGCAGTTTTTGCAGCTGCAAATCTACTCCAACACATCTGTCTTCTTGCAGTGAAAGTGTTCCACTCATCTCTCTCTCTTCCCAAGTTCACATTCACTCCAGTAACCCTGCTTTCCAAGTCTTTTAGGCTTTATTAGTAATAGTCAGGACCTACTCTGCATCCCTGTTCCTCCAGAAGTTACGCTACCTTCTCTCTGTTTTCAGTGAACAGACGTACAAGTCCAAAGCAACCTGTGGTGTTTTGAAGGCTGTTCTACAATCAGTCCTTGTGAGAAACCTAGCTTAGGAGATATATTCCCCAGAGACAGCCTCAAGAAGGAAATTCAGAGCCTGATCTATAACCCTTGCATCACCATCTACAGAAGTCTATTTCTCTCCACTGACTACTGAGTCTCCTAAGGACGTTAAGCATCATCTCAACTAGACATGTAAATATTTCGTGGTACCCAACACATAAAAAGGACTGCAGGTAACAGCAACAGAATTAAAAGCAAGTTATACAACACAAGCAAAAAACTGACAGTGAACTTACTCTGAAAACTTTTTCCACCCTTGCAATACCCTTGCCAAATATGGTTCCAAGTTGGTCTCCAATCCCAGCCAGCAAGAAGCCAAATAGTGGAATCCCAAAGATGGCATACAAGATGCAGAAAACCTTGCCTCCAACAGTGCTTGGGGCAATGTTCCCATACCCTGAGGAGAAAAACAACTGTCAGACTCTCAGAAATTATACATGGCTTTTTAGAAAAACTAATGCGTTTAGAAAAACTGCTGTTCCTGCAGGCATATCTTTGTTCCATATATAATTCCTATTTACAGACTTTCCATGGCATGATGTCATTTCCCAGGCAAGCTACCCCGTGTGATTAATTTCTTCTTGTAGCCTCAGTTACCCGTATTTTCTATAGATTCAGGTCCTATCTAAAGTTGTTTCTTGATTAATTAACCTAGCTTGATTTATCATGGCACAAAAATCCCTCCGTGCTGGCCTGGTGCCTGCGCGCTGCTGCTCCTCTTGGGCTGTGCCAATGACTTCTGGATGGGAGTGTATTTCACCTGGCAAGGCTCATTTTCAGTGGTTAGCTCATAATTTCCTCAGCCCCTCATCACACTGACCAGTTACACTGCAGCCCCCAAACTATACCCATGCTGTGCAAATCTGCCCTTGAACTCTTTATTCAGTTCCCCTTTCAATTTGACAATAAAGACACTAACATTTGTATTTCATGAGGTTTTTTAATAGCTTTTAATAGGAAAGTTTTTAAGCCTTCCCATTGAATATCTGGCTCCATTTATATTTAAAAATCATTACTGATGCTGTAATAAAGGTGCATACATGCCTGCCTTCCATCCTCTGTTAGGGTAACCTGGGGCTGTTGAAAAGATGACAGATTCCGACCAAGACATAATTATCCAGCTGCATATCCTGAGTGAATACTCTCATTTTGGCCCAAGCATGTTTGGGCACATTTGGTTTCAATCCCCAGCCTTGTAACTCCAGATAAAATATTGGGAATATCTGATAATGGCGGAAAGGCAGCTCTCCACCTGTACTATGCAGTAAATGTGTAGTCACCACAGTTTGTTCAGGCACTTCTTCCCTTCCCTGCACCACCCATGTGAATTTAACCTTAGGAATCTACGTAGAGCATTATGACTCCAGTGACTATGGTATTTCTGTTAAAATTTAAAGAGAAAAAACAAGAATTGTGGCAGCAATATTTGTATCTTCTTATTCAAGAATAGGTATCTTTATTGAAATGTTATAGAGATTTGTATTCTGACTGTACATAATTATTTGAGTATTAAAAGTGATCACACAATCACAAATCACTGACAAAATAAAGTGGAAAAACAGAGATGGAGATCTAAGAGAGTGTCTGCTTCAGCTACAGCAATTCCTCCTGGTCCTTGGGAATTAAGGCTGGGGTCCCAGGTCCTAATCCTGTTAGGTTTGTGACACTGGCACTAGATATATCCCTCTGTCATGGGATGGTGATAGGACTATGCTGACATGCAACACTGCCTCCCTCTCAACTCACAAGCATTTTCATGGCTGCATCCATGATCTCAGATTTCTCCTAAAAGTCCAAGAAAATCCATGTTCCACAGGCCAGTGGAGTGAGGTTGACCAGGTATTCTGATGAGTGTCTGCCTAAGAGGAGACCTAACAGGGTTCTGGTGGATAAATAAAATCATTTTCACGCCCAGACACAATATGTGGACATTATGCAGCCTATAAAAATCTCATTCATGGAAAATTTAAAGCAAATATGGGCAAAAATCCAAGCTCTTTTCAATAAGTTTTTTAAATAGCAGATGTCAATGAGTATGCCTACATAAACTATGCCTACATAGTGGCATTTATTTAAATGAGTAGTTTAAAAGCCTGTCACTTGGGTCTATTGAGTAAACAAATATTAAGGGAGGGTTTTCTTACATTTGATTCACAAATGTTTTCTTTCTTGTTACCCACTGTTTTTATGCTACTGTTAAAAATACATGGTAATGTAGCTTAGTATATAGAGGAACATAGGGAGGAGTACACTCTATACAATTGCTCTTTCACCCTCACTCTGACAACAAAGAAAAGGCAGAGCCAAAGGCAGACTCCACTATTCGAGATGATCACCACAGCAAGTCTTGTAACTGCCACAGGATTCTTTTTGTTGTATTACCTGCATAAAGAACCTGCAGAATTCAGTCAGATTCTCAGACTTTAATGAAGGGTTATGTGATCGTCAGATCATACAGTCACCAGTATCACAGCTGTGATACTGATGTTCATCACAGTTGTAATACAGAGAAGCACTTTATCCAATATTTGAATCAGAAGAATACTCAAAGGCAAATAAAAAGCAACAATTTGCCAATGATTTCCAAATGATCAGATCTCTTAATCTCTAACCATAACAGCATTTTAATCAAGCGTAAAATTATAAAGCCACTATATAATTATCAGCAGATTAACTTTATCATCAATGTTATCAGTTTATCATTTTTTTCCTTCAGACCATCTTCTGAAATCCCAGCTGTTTGAACAATCTTCAAGAGAGGAACCGGCTCACAGAGCAGAGGATAAAAACCTTAGCATATCTAAGACCGGCATTCAGAGATCAAGAGGCTAAATACATTGGACACAATATATAGGGGGGACAGATGATAAGGGCCTGAATAATTAACTTACTAAAATTAGTGGTTCAAGAAAAGTAAATGGAGCAATTCACTATACCCTTCATCTAATAAAGAGTAAATTGTCATTTTTTCAAGGCCATGAATTCTAGAATGGAAAAAAAAAAAAAAGTTGGATTTCTTTACAGAATGTAATTCATGGAATTCCTTCCAATTATTAGTATGTGTATTGGGTCTGGCTGAGATGGAGTTAATTTTCCCCATATCAGCCCTCACAGTGCTGTGGTTTGTATTGGTAGCTAGAAGGGTGTTGATAACACACCAGAGTTTTGGCTACTGCTGAGCAGTGCTCACACAGCATCAAGGCTGTCCCTCCAACATTCCCCCCTCACCAGTGGGATGAGGGTGGGCAAGGTCTTGGGAAGGGTCATAGCCAGGACAGCTGACCCAAACTGACCAAAGGGATACTCCATACTGTATGGCGTCTGCTCAGCAATAAAAGCTAAGAGAAAGGAGGAGGTGGCAGGGTATTCGTTATTAAGACGTTTGTCTTCTGGAGCAACTGCTATGTGTACTGAAGCCGTGCTTCTCAGGAAATGGCTGGACATCACCTGCTGATGGAAAGTGGAGAATAAATCTTTTGTTTTCCTTTGCTTCTGTAAGCAGCTTTTGATTTTGCTTTATTAAACTGCCTTTATCTTGACCCACGAGTTTTTTTCCATCTTACTTTTCTCCCCCTCCAGCCTGCTGAGGAGGGGAGTGATAGAGTGGCTTGGTGGGCACCTGCTGTCCAGCCAAGGTCAATCCACCATCGTTTGAAAGCGAGAAAGGATTTTAAAAAGGATGTGATATTTATGTGAATACATTTCTAGTTTCAAGGAGTAGGGTATGAGAATTACTTATATCAAACTTCAAAACATAAGCCAAAATTAACTGAAATACTTAGGAAGAAAGTTGCCCTTATAGGTAAATTCATCTGTAATATTCAAATCCAAATTACCAACAACAATAGAACAATTATTTCATTGGGTACTGGTTCTTAATCTTTTTAGTGAAAGTTAAGACCACCTGCATCTACATCAAGAACAGGGTTATAAAGCCTTAGCTACATCAGTGCTACTTCTTTTCAATTCAACATTGCTATTTTACCCTAATTGTGTAAACAGTTTCTGATATTTACCCAGAGGCTCAATGCCCTTGACACATATCAGAGGCATGCCTTCTGAGAACTGAAAGAAATACAGTTCAACCACTTTATTTCTTTGTGATCTACCCTCCTCCAATTTATTTCATTATCCAGGTCTCAGTGTGACTGTGTATTTTAAAAGATAAAAAATAAACATACCTATTGTTGTGATGACTGTTCCAGCAAAGAAAAAGGCACTTCCGAGGTCCCAATGACTGCTGTTGTTAGAGGAATTTCCTATGGGACTGACTCCTGCATTATCAGCATCAATAGCATGCTGCAAAGAAAGAGACAAGTCAGCCTTATGCATGCCTTACCATACCCTATGCAAACTGGTATAGGCTCCAAAGGGAAATTTCTAGGACCATGGGAACAGCTTAGATTTAAACTTTTTAATACCTGTTCAAAGTATAGTAGCATCCTGTGTACACAAGAGCTGTATATATGACTGAACTAAATAGCTATTAAGGTAGAAGAAAGATACAATGCATAGACAAATGAGAAAAGATACAAAGCAATTGAGTAGAAGACCAACACCACAAAGAGATCCGTAAATATCGCTCTTGTAGAAATAACTGCCAAAGGAAAAATTCCCCAATGGGAATAGCTGATGTTAGAAGCAGCCAGAAGGGTCGTAAATACAAATAATGTTCATGAAGTCAACTGAAGCTAGTCAGCCAAGGATTTTAATTCCTGGACAATTAATAATTGATTAAGCTATTCATATTTTATGCTAACTAAAGAAAAAATAAGAGCTATATATCCCATTTGAAATGAAAAAAAATAGCATAGCTATTTAAACATCATAAAATAACTTTATGATCAGCTAGGACTTCCCAGTTGCCACACTGGACGTGATCACATGTCCACAAATATAGCATGGTACAGAGACTCCCAGCTAGTGCTTGAATGAACTAAATCCAGAACAGAAGCTGAGGTAGCAATACTGCTTTGAGATCACTGTCCTATGTCTCACACAGCACTGAATCAAACCAGGCAGACATATCAGCTTGCTGAATGTCTGCTTGGGAATTTCTAAAAATGCACCGTATTGTATCATGGGGACATACACATTTGCCTTTCATTGCAGCTTCACAGTCCAAAGGAAGATAGAGCGAAATACATCAGCCTCCAAAGCACAGAAATAAATCTGTGATCAGCATCTGGCAGATCCAGTTGAATTGCTCTGTGTTCACTTTTGAGATGCCCTTTGGTACATATTCTCTAGTTGCTTGTAGATCTCATGCAATCCATTGCCTGTCATAGAGAAATCCAGACCTCACTCTGGAAGAAGAGCAGCTAAAATGACTGCCTTTCAAAGTAAACCTATCTTTCCCAAATGTTCCCAACTGAAATTAATTTCCATAAAACCAATGCAAAGGAACCAATCATCTCTCTTTCTGTCTCTTACATTTCCAGCTCTTTACCTTTCTCCCATTCTGTTCCAACCTCATTTCACATTGGTTATCATACTACTAACACTACTGCCAGATCTACTCCTTCTCTCTCACTCTGATATTTGCTCCTCCTCCTCAATATTGCCACCAGCCTTTAGCTTTCGTTATTTCAGTGAACTTATTGCTGGGCTCAACGGGAGAGGCAGAGTGCTGCCTCTTACATCTTCTCTTTGTTCAACACAGAATTCCCACCTATCAATACAAGTCTGTTTTGACTTTTCTTATTCCACTTCTTTAGCTACTTCTCTTTTCCCTCTGACTTATGATCTACGAATTGTCACTGTGATTTTTTATTTCACCTTTCTGTATACAGTCCATGTGCAAAGTAAGGTTAACCATTCTATTTCACCATTACCCCACTTCTTATCTATTCATGTCTATGATTTGTTTCCTAATCTTCTCTATAACATCATATTCTCTTGTGCTTTTAGCATTGACTTTTAAATACCCCCATTTAACACCTCTTCTATGCCTAGCTTTCATGATACACTTTTCTCCTCATTCACCTCTTCCCTCTGATGGCTCATCACTTTTTTTTTCTTTTCTTCCCCTTCCATTTTGCACTTTTTCTCACCCATTTTTTGCCTATATGTCCAACTGACTTAATCATTACAAATGTTCCTCTACCAAATTTGTTTCGTTGGGCTAGTTTCAGCTAATCTGCTCCCCAGTTTTTATTAATTCATCACATTGCCCCACAAAAGGGGAAAGGAGTGGGAAAAAAGGCACGTGGGGAAGAACAGAGGGCAGGTATATCTGAAGAAATCAGTACGGGACAGCCATTTAGCCTTTTTTAACAGTAGAGCTGCTGCATGCCAGGCTAAGCTGATAGTGAAATTACAGCATGAGCAAGCTCCAGACTGGACTGGTTGCATTTCATGTGGCAGAAAGCCAGGGTTCCTCAGCACTTGTCCAAAAAGAAACAGGGATATAGAGAAAGGAAGTGTTTAGGTCCAAATCCTTTGAAAGGGCTTCTGTACCAGTTGCTGGCATATTACAGGTGGTGTGAAAGCAGAGATCATTTATTTGTTTACCCAGCAGAGTGTAAATCAGCATAACAGACAGGTTGCCTGTTTAAATAGGCCATGACACACTGTCAACTACCCCTGCATGTTACTTCTGCCAAGGAATGCTGCTTGCCTTCCCCTTGACCGCTGCTTGCCTTCCCCTTGAGTGTGTGAACGTCAGCGAGCTAATTACAACACTTTAATCACATTTGAGTTTACACAGTTAAGCAAGGCTATTAGAGCCAAGCACTAACTCCTGAAATGAAGGACTGTCGTGTTGCCACAGGTAGCTTTGAGCTTCTCAGGCTCCCTTTTCATCCAGAACAAATTCATTTTTTCTTTAAAGCTTGGCTGACATCATTCATTTATATATATCCAACTAGCCCAATGCTATCTCTTAATACATAGTATTTTGCATACAGTGATGGAGAACAGAAAGGGAGCTGTAAGAGGAGAGCAGTCCTCCCGTTACCAGCACTTAAATATGCAATTTCAGGTCATGTGATGAGTAAAGGATGCTTTACTACCACCACCACAAGTCCACCTACACAGAAGTATCCTGCTACATCAAGACTGACACAAAACTCAAACAAGGATGCTATCACTGGTAAGACTATCTCAGTTCACACAGACCATGAAATTTTATAACAGTTTCCCATCTATGAAACTTCAGATAGGCTTTGCAGCATGACCTGAAGAGCTGCATCCTCAGGTTATTTTGGGAAAGAACTAATTTTCAGAGTGTTAACCGCTCTGTTGGCAAACCTTCCACATTTAAGACATTTTGGACTAGTAGTTTCAAGTATTTTTATAGTTGAAGTATTACCAAAAGTAGCAGGTCATCAAAGTACCCATAGCTGTTTCACACTTACTCCTTTCCGGATTCCTTCTCCCTTCTCAAGAGGAGTTACATGCACAGTGCACAACATTTTTTCAATATTTTTAGTAAATTCAAAAAGATTCTTCTTTAATTAATAATTATTAATCTATGGTAATTTATATTTTGAAATGCCACCCACTCAGGGAAGGCAATAACTTGGAATACCTCAAAGGACTGAAATTGTCTTTCTTGCTGTTCAAGTAATGAATGTGTCCCAAAGCTGATAGGCAGATAGGAGTGAGGGAAATGACAAAACTACCAAAGTAAATTCAAGTACTTTTTTTTAAAAAAACCCACATATTTCTGATCACAATTTTCAGTTTGGTTCCTTATCGTTGTATAGATGTCTGTTTTACTCTCGGCCCCTTTGGTATCAGCACACTACAGTCCTTCTGTAACCAAAAAGACCAAGTGGTCTGGCGAATCTGCATGGGACAGAAGGTAAATCCCACAACAAAAGCCCAGCACATGTGGTGATACTGGGATGACTGAATCCTGTATTCCCAAAGAGAGTGCAATCCAGACTCCACCTCAATCTGGAATAGGCTTTATCAATTCCAACTGTTGATATTCAGGAAGCAATATTTAAAGGCTATGAGGCATGGCCCCACCCTGGGCTACCTAGTTGTTAACATATAGGACTCAAAGTCCAAAGAAACGTATAGTGAACACTAATTTGTCTCACCAGGCATCAAGAGTTCCCCCCCACAACATAAGATCAAAATAGTATCTCTTCTATATGGATAAAATTAATTATATTCTTCTTACACCAAATAGAAGCTACTGGGGTTTCATAGAGTCATAGAATCATAGAACGGTTTGGTTGGAAGAGACCTTAAAGATCATCTAGTTCCAACCTCCCTGCCATGGGCAGGGACACCTTCCACTAGACCAGGTTGCTCAAAGCCCCATCCAACCTTGCCCTGAACACTTCCAGGGATGGGGCATCCACAGCTTCTCTGGGCAACCTGTGCCAGTGCCTCATCACCCTTACTGTGAAGAATTTCTTCCTTATATCTAATCTAAATCTACCCTCTTTAAGTTTAAGGCCATTGCCCCTTGGCCTATCACTATATGCCCGTGTAAAATGTCCCTCCCCAGCATTCTTCTGAAGGCAGTGCTGCAGGTGAGCTCTCACGAGACCATCTCAGTCCCTGCCCAAGCAATGTCGTACAAGTGTTGGGCTCCAGCTCCACATAGCCCTGTCCTGCCCAGTCACAGGCTCTGCCAAGCTGGGGCCTGACCTCTGGGCTGATGTCCTGGCCCAGCCTCAGCCGTCCCCATCCTCAGGGAGGTGCCTTACAGACTGGGCTGGGGGATGTCCCTGGCTGCCCCTGGCTAGTCATGCTCCCTGGCTGGCAACTGGGATCCACAGCTGCCAGCTGCCTGTCCCCTGGGGTGCAGGTTGTTCTCACTGTGCCCAGATACTCACATATCTGATCCTCCTTGCTGCATGAATGAGTACATGCCAGCCTTCACTAATGTATTGGGTACCTTGGTCACTAATTAAGACAACTATATCAAGAAAAAGTCTGGAGTTATGCCCATAGGCAACAAGATAGCTGGGAGCTAGTACAGCTGATGAAGAGACAGGAAGCAAAGAGAATGTTTCTAGTTTCCCTGGCAATAAAGGCTTCTATCTGTTTCACTTGTTCATGTTTCTTTAATTTCTCTAGTAAGAACCCAAGCATGAAGACAAATCTTTTCCAAGGACAAGCATAATACCCCTCTTGAGTACTGAGCTGCTCAAAGGATGTGCCCTATGTGTAACCAAGGATAGGAAGAAGAGAAGTGAAGAGGAGAGGAGAGGAGAGGAGAGGAGAGGAGAGGAAAAAAAAGAAAAGAAAAGAAAAGAAAAGAAAACATTTTAAGTTGAAGCTGGTGAAGGTGTCTGGGATAGGAGAGGAGAGGAGAGGAGAGGAGAGGAAAGAAA